GATAATTAGGACAAATAGGGTTAAGTAAAATATTGGATTTGATGCCTGCTGAAGTATTCTGTTCAACTTATCATAAATGCTGTGACATATATGTATAGATACTGAAAAGGAGAAGCAGAAGAGCTTCTTCACAAGTCAGCCTGATAATAAACAACCTCATGCTCACAAACCCTCCTGTGCCCATGGTGTGCATATTGGGTATGGCCTCACTGCTGTTAGGCTTCTCATCAAATTTGAGTATTTTTAGCTAGAAAGGAGGCATGTTTGAAAATTATATAATCTTTAAGAAGTGAGGGTTTTTTGGGGGGAGGATGTTGCAATTCAGATTTGCTTTATCAAAAAGTCTCCAGTAAACTCAGTTCTTCATGTGAGACATGTACAAGAATAAATCCATGGGAAAAGAAGGGAGATGGGAAAGGAAAGCATTTTCTCCTGCTTTGACACTTTGGTTTGTAAAAACCCTGAGTCATTGCTCTCCTTTCCTTACTGTCTCCTGTGGCTCCTCCGGGAAGCTACCAAAACGTACTCGTGCAGGCCTCTGGGAGGACATTTCTACAGCAGGTGGAGCGGGGGTCCCTTAGAGGTGGTCTTCCACATTGATCAGCAGAGGAATGCTCCACCTCTCCAATGATAGCACCTTCTAAATATCTAAAAGCACTTGTATACTTTTCACTGATTTTGGAATTTGTAGAAATCTGTGTGATTCAGTATTTGTGTTTATTTGTTTTCTTCCCAGCAGACACAATTTAGTAACCAGGAGTCTTTAACACTACCATCCTATGCATCAAATAGAAGCTCAAGAGATAGTTTGTATCTTCATAAAAGGAGGAGATGCCCCTGTAAAATTATAAAATAGGTTATCCACTTTCCTTTTCATTAATAAGTAACCAAACTAAGGGCACTTATTTTTTTTAAAACATCCAGTTTTGTTTTTATGTCTGTGACATAAATGCTGTAACCAGTTCTACAAGCAAATATTGATTTCAAGAAATTAGTTTTTAAACTGCCTTTGGCATCATTTAGCAACTCATTTTAGCTTCATACCAGAGACTCTCCTCTTGGCAGCTATATAAAATTTAAAATAATCCTGATATAGCACAGACCTTGTATTAAAAAGGAAATATGATTTTATGTTATAAAACATCCTTATCCAAGGCATTCGAAAAAGCTTTAGAGCAACGTATTATATCAGGACTAACTCAAGAAGTCAGTGCTTTAAACAGTACATAACAGTGAGGAGAGCGTTTGGCCATTAACTTTCCATTACTAAACAGGAGAAAAATGGTGACCTTACTATAATTCCAATTCCAGAGGGCTAGAGCAAATATTTTCACAGAAATATAAACCTTCAGTGAAATGCTAGAATGCTGATCAGAAAGCAGCTCAGAGCTATCCTATTTTTATAATGGTTCCCTTAAGCTAGTATATATTTTTATATGTCTAAAATTATAATGAATTTTAATTTTAATTAGCTTCATACTATTAGGGGAAAGAACACTATAAAATCTTCTTTAAAGACAGATTAAATAGGTCAGCTCAGATTCACATTAAAACCCATCCTTTATTGCTTTGTGATAAACGTTAAACTTCTACATTTAATTTCAGAAAATTCATTTAACCAATTTATCATGTAAATTGGCCTTTTATGTTTTTCATATTTTAAAATGTTATGGTTAATTAATAAAAACGTGGGAAGAAAAGATAAAGCTATAAATTGGTGTATATTCTCTTCCAAATGATGAGGTTGAAGTGGTTGGTAGCATCTAGCTCAGTTTCCAAGACTCCCAACTTTGCAAAATGTTCACAAAGTCAGGACATGGTGGTGTAAGTTGGTTAAGAGACAGTTGTAGAGTTAGACTGCCTGGCTTCAAATCTTTTGGATCTTCCGCTCAAGTTGCCTTGGGTTATCAAAGCTCTCAGTTCTTCACTTTCTATATCTTCAGAGTGAGGATACAGTACTTCACCTACCATGTTTTGCTTTAGGGTTGTTATATGATAACAAAGCTTTGCACTTAGCATTCAACGAGTTTGAAAATAATTTACATTAAATTGGAAAACATATGATAGGATACCATTTTGGGTTCCCTACTTCCAGGGGTAGAGCTTAGCACTAAAGCTTACCTTGAGTGTGGACTACACTAACTGACTCGCTTCTAGTGAATGAATTAAAGTAGAAGTAGTGGGCAGCATCTTTGGCAGCATCTCCTGAAAGGTGTTGGGGTTTTTGTTCTCGCTTTCTCTTGGATCCCTCATTGAAGGAAGTTAGTGGCCTAGGGTGCACTGTCCCAACACGAGTCCACTTGGCCTCTTACCAGTTGCCACATCCCCATGTCTCCTTAGAAGTCACTCCTCAGGGTCCTATTGAGCTCTCAGAGGACCACAGCCCAGGTTAGTATTTTGACTCCAACCTCATGAAAGATCCTGCCCGAGGACTGCCTGGCTGGGCTGCTCCAGGGTCCCTCAAAATCTGTGGAACCATCAACATTCACTGCTTTATTCCACGATACAGAGAGTTCTAACCTTGTGGGTAATTTGTTACTTTGCAATAAATAACTAAGGTACTGCCCTATTTATATTATTTGTGGAATCTGGATTAGGAGAATGCAGTGTAGTAACTATAGAGCACAGAATTGATGAAAAGTTGAGGTGGAGTGTCACCTGTGCTGTCGCCAGAGTCAGCGCTCATTATCAGCAGATACCATTCACATTAGATAATGTGGGTATGTTTGCTTTCCTGCCCTTTTACCCTGGCTTGATATTTCTCCAGTTTATACTCATTCCGGCCCCTTCTCTAGTTGCAATTATCTATTTCGGCCTGAAAAATGGGTCTGGTGCAGATATTTTATGTTTTTCCTTCTGTATGAATAAATAGCATCTATTTTATTGATTTTTAATGTACATGCACT